GCTGGCCGCCCCGCCGGGCTCCGGTTTACCTCAGGACGCCCCGGGTTTTTTTTCCGGAATGATCGCTCACCCGCGATTGTCTGGCGCCTGTTTTCAAACCATTAACTCGCGCGGCCTCGGCGAGCTCGGTTCTCAAGGGAAGCGGAGCGGCCCGGCGGGCTCCGCGCCGGCTGCTGCCTCGCCCTGTGGAAGCGGAGAGAGCCCGGCGCTACCCCCGGCTCGCCGCCCCCCGGCGCACGCCGCCGGGCTCTGCCAGCCCCGCTGTCCCTGACGGTTTGCTCCTCCCAGCCTCGCCCCGCAGCGGGTGGGTCGTGCACCCTGCCTGCCTCCCCGGGCACCCGGGGCGAGCGCCCCACGCAGCCCTGCCCTCCGCACGCGCGGCCCCGCCGGGTCAGGGCAGCGGGGAACAAATGCACGTCCAGAGCTGTGAAGTGACGGGGGCTGCAGGCTGCAGGCTGTGGTTAGGGGTGCTCAGAGAGTGTTCCCCGCCCCCCCAAAAGGCCTGAGACAGGAATCAGGTGGTACTTTGGAACCGTGTCACAAATGAAAATAGAACTATGTGGTTGGTGTTGGCTCACCAACTACTCCCTACTCACCTGGCGACTCAGGGGGCTGAGCATTTATGGTTCGAAGCCAGCCCTGGGAAGGAACATCCATGACATTTCTTTTGTCCAATTAACCACCAAAAATCTGGAAATAGAGCTGCTGCTCAAGGGATGGAGTGCCAGTATTGAGCAAAAGCAGCCTGAGGGACAGCACTCAGGTCCCGGCATTGGGATGAGTGCTGTGCGCAAACGCGCTGAGTGAAACGGAGCTGGGGTGGTGTCTTGGATGGAACTGGGGAGCAAAGACTGGAAAATCAGCTTTTAGAATTTGGAATTTAGCCTGTGTCCCACTGGGAGCCTTTGGGGTGTCTTCTCTCTCTCCTGCCCTTCGCTTGCAATGCTCACTGCGTCTAGTCACTTGTCAGCATCCCAAACTTTTTCATGTAAAATGCAGGTTCCTGCCATGCTCTGCCTTGGCTGCACTGGCGCTTGGTGGTCCTCAGACGTCCAGGCGCTCTACCTTCTTGGCCTGTCCAGGTCCCTGTCCATCTGACTTGTCATGACTGTCCCAGTACTCCAGCTCCAGCTTAAATGTCTACCTTACTAGTGTTTTCTTTCGTTTCTTTAAAAAAAAACAAAAACTCTTAGGTGGTACTGGGTTCAAACTCAGGGCCTTGTGCTTGCTAGGTGGGCAGTCTTACCCCTTGAGCCACACCTCAAGCACACTAATAATTCTTTTTCTTTGTCTGCTCTCCTGGAATAGGTATTGCTGTCTAAGTCTCCCATGTTTTTGTTGGGGGGCGGGCAGGATTTAGGGCCTGGTGTTCCCAACCTCGTGCTCTCTCGTGGTGTTTCTGCTCAAGGATGGTGCTTTGTCACTTAAACCGCAACTTCACTTCCAGCTTTTTGCTGGTTAATTAGAGGCAAGGGTGTGTTAGATTTATTTTTCTGAGCTACCAGTGCCCAGCTTAATCACACACACACACCTTTTTTTTCAATCTTAATCTTTCATTATTGTTATAAAGGTCACGATGTTCAGCGAGGTTCCAGTGATCCCACCTCATTTCCAGCAAAGCTCTTGTTTATCAATCTTCCTTTTTGTTGTTGTTGGGCCATCCAGTTTCCCCCGGTGGACGGGCTCCATTGCTGCGGGACTGTGGCCAAGTGGGAGACATCATGGGTGGGAGGATGGAGCGGCGCAGAACCTCTGAGAGGAAGGGGAGAGGAGACCAGAGGCAGACCCAGAGGGGTCAGAGACAGGGTTCACCCTTCCTAGGGCCAGCCTCCCATTGGCCTGCCTCCTCATAATCCACTCAGCCATGAACTCATTCTGGATCAACCCAAGGATGAGAGCCCGTGGCTCACACCTGGCATCCTGGTATTCAGGATGCTGAGATCTGAGAGGGTTATGGTTCAAAGGCAGGCTGAGCAGGAAAGTGCATGAGACTTATCTCCAAATAACCAGCCAAAAGCAGGAAGTGATGCTGTGGCTCAAGTGCTAAGGCTACAGCCTTGTGTGAAAAAGCTCAGGCACAGGGCCTCAGTCTTGACGGCAGGCCCCAGGACTGGCGTGCGCACACACTCCTGTACACAATCAGCTCTCTATTGTCCCCCTTCTAGCCGGGGAACCCAGTCTTCAGCACAGGAGCTGTTCTGACCTGTTTCTTTCCATCCCCAGGAAAGGCCAACCGGTGGTTCGGGGTTGCACCCCCAAAGTCTGGAAAGATGAGCATGAACGTCCTTTATCAGGAAGAGCTCATCGCTCAGAAGAAGCGAGAAATTGAAGCCAAAATGGAGCAGAAAGCCAAACAGGATCAGATGGCCAGCCCGCCACCCCCCCATCCTGGAGAGTGAGTGCCCCTGGGCCTGGGTTCTTAGCTGGGCACCGACAAAGGGAGGGCTTGTGACCAGGGTCTGCCACTGCATTCACCCGGCCCCGGCCTGAGGCTGTGTGGTGGGAGAGAAGTAGGAGCCCAGATGTAGGGCTTGCCTGCTCTTGTTCAATTATTTACTGCTTTTCAGCAGTGTTTCACCCCAGGCCTGTGCCCTAAGGCTGTAATCTCACCATCTGCTTCGCAAAGGGATGGCCCCTTCCTCTGAGTCTGAAGTGTCACTGTGTTGTTTTTTGTCTGTGGTGTTGGAGATGGAAGGGAGGACCTTTCTAGTGTTAAGCATGTGCTCTACCACTGAGTTACAGATTCCACCTCTGTATGTGCGTGTGTTGGTCCCAGGACTTGAACTCAGGGCCTGGGTGCTGTCCTTGAGCTCTTTGTACTCAAGGAGGGACTCTACCACTTGAGCCATAGCTCCAGGTTTTTGAATGGTTAATTGGAGATAAGAGTCTCACAAGGACTTTTCTGCCTGGGCTGGCTTTGAACTGTGACCCTCAGTTTTCAGTCTCCTGAGTAGCTAGGATTACAGGCATGAGCCACCAGCGCTTGGCTTTGTTTGTTTGTTTTTTAGAAGTAGAATCTTACTGTATCTGCTGGGACTTCTGGACTCCAGCAGTCCCCTGGCCTCAGGTCCCCACATCGCTGTAAATACAGGAGCCAGAAGTACAACCTGCAAACAACATAAAGTTGTTTTAACCAAACACATTGACTCATGCCTGTAATCCCATCTACTTGGGAAGCTGATCTCAAGGATTGTAATTGGAGGCCAGGTAGGAGAAAAACATTTGGGAAACCCCATCTCAAGCATTAAAAAAGTCAAGTGGTAGTATGGGTATGTGGGAAGCATAAATCAGAGGAATGAGGTCTAGGCTGGGCCAGGCATAAAGGAGGCTCAATTCAAAAAATACCTAAAAAAAAAAAAACAACCAAAAACAACTAAAAAACGGCCTGGGAATATGGCTCAAGTGGTTTCGTTTAGCACATGCCCAACAAGTCCAAGGCCCCAAATCCAAATGAAACATTCTTTGCAAATAAAAAGGCAGAGAGAATAAAGGTAATAATAATAATAGTAGTAAACACCCCAGTTTCCTGTAGTTACCCCAAGAGATTGTTTAGGAAGCATTTGATGGAATTACAGCCACACATAGGTAAAGATACTCCCAGGCCAGGCCTGGTGGCCACACCTGTAATCCCAGCCCTCAGTGATGCAGTCCTGGACTGCATCTCCAGGACTCTGGATCAAAAACCAGGAAGACACGCAGGTTCTGCCCGAGAGGAGGATTGGGTACTGAGCAGGCAGGACGAAGCTGGGCCGCTGGTGAAGTGGTGGCGGGAGGCCAGGCACCGATGTGCGGGAAGAGAAGGGAGCCATCTTGGGGGCTGATGTTCAGGATGTTGGGTTTCCGACGTCCACGCGCCAGTCAAGGCCTGTCCCCTCAAATGGGGACAACATGCGCAGTTGGCTCACCCTCTTCCTGTCTTGTTCTAGAATGGCAAATGCACACCATTCTTCCTGCATTTCCAACAAGTTTGCCAACGACGGCAGCTTCCTGCAGCAGTTTCTGAAGCTGCAGAAGGCCCAGACAAGCCCCGGTGAGCCCACCCCGCCCTCCCTGCCCGCGCTGGGCCCAAGCCGCCGTCCCGGGGTGCCTGTGTTTATATCTGTGCAGGGACTGGGGGCCGAGGGTCCTGTGGGCTCTGCTCAGTTTCCCTCTGAAAGACATGTCAAAGCACATGGTATAGGGGCTGGGAAGGTGGCTTAGTGGTGGAGTGCTTACCTAGCATGTGTGAAGCCCTGGGTTCGATTCCTCAGCACCACCTACGTAGAAAAGGCGGGAAGTGGTGCTGTGGCTCAAAGTGGTAGAGTGTTAGTCTTGAGCACAAGAAGCTCAGGGACAGTGCCCAGGTCCTGAATTCAAGCCCAGGACTGGTGCGTGCCTGCGCGCTTGCACACACACACACACACACGCACACAGAGAGAGAGAGAAAAACACATGGTATGGTCCCTGCCCAGAATCATAGGTTGGTTGGATACTTGGCACTTAGCTTCTGCCCTTTGTATGTACTTATAAAAATCCTGGGCAGAAGTTGGCGCCCAGCCTCCGCAGGACTTGCTGCTGTCCCCTCCCCCCCAGCCCAGTGCCCCCATCCCCCTCACTGGCCGTTCCTGTCTGCTTTGTACCATGCCTGGGGTTCAGTGCCTGGAGCCAGCCTGTGCCCCCACGACAGTGTCTGAGGCCCAGGGACGCCCTGCCCCCCCCCCCTGCACTGCGCCCCTGCACACCCACCCCTGCAGGGCGGCTCCGGCTCTGGGCAGGGCCACGAGGTGGCAGCACAGGCTCACACACGGCTTGCCCGCTCCTATCCTGCATGCTCTGGCTGCCGCGGCTGGTGGGGCTGGCAGGGACCCTCACCATCCTCCGGGCTCCCTGCTGCTGTGGGCGGGCGGCCTTGGGGTGGAGACTGAGTCACAGAAAAATCTGCCCAGGAAAGGCAGGCACCGTGGCCTTTACCCATGGGCTGGAAACGGAGTGGTTGGGGGCCGCCTCACCCCCAGGAGCCCACGGCACAGGGGAGCAGACGTACTGAAGGGGATCCCTCTTTATTCCATCCCAAGACCCACCCCCCAGCGCACCCCGCAGTGCTCCCCCGCCCAGCACGGCGCGGCGGCCCCTGCTGCTCAGCAAGCGGCCCAGCCTGGGGCTGGGCACCCCGGGCCCCACCAGGAGCTACTCACACGCCAAGCAGCTGCCCGTGGCCCAGCGCCCCAGCATCTTCCAGTCCCCCGACGATGACGACGACGATGACGATGAGGAGCAGTGGCTGGAGATCAAAGGTAAGGGGCAGCGCTGCCCTCCCCCTCCCGCCCTGCCAGCCTGGGGGCGGGCGCGGGGGGCGGGCTTGGCGCGGTGGGAACCCCGTCCGCAGCCAGACCCTTGGCTGGCACATCCTGACAGTGGGGACGGGGGCTCGAGGCCTTCCGGTGACTGGGGTGGGGCTCTCCCAAAGCATGTGGAAGAAGTGGGGGGGGGGGCGGGGAGGGGAGGAAAGCAAGGCGTAGAACACCTCTTCCGCCCTGTGCTTCCTGGCAGCCCAGACAAGAGAATAACAGTCGTTAGGCCAGGCACCAGTTGACAGGAATTTCTCCCTTGAGTCTCATCAGCGCATGGTCCCTGTGGCAGCTGACACGAGCCACCTTGGAACCAGGCCAGTGAGGTGTGCCCAAGTAGCTTCCGTGTGGCTCCAACCACTCAGGAAAACACACTGCCCAGGGGCTGTGCACATGCAAAGGCCCTGGGGCGCCCAGCGTGCCACCGCCAAAGGGCACCACCAGATGGCGGCAGAAGCACATGCTGTCACTCGTGGACCCTAGGACTTCCTGGAGGTGGGGCTGGCCGGAGACCCCGGATGCCTGGTCCTGGCAGCTAGTGAGGGGGAGCCCCGACCCCCAGGGCGCTGCTGCAATAAGCCTCACGTCAGTTCAGAGCCATGTTTTCAGAGAACTTGCTATCTCTGAAGACTCCAGCACACTGAAAGCTGCGAAGTAGGAGGGGTTTCTGCCCCCCCATAGTACTGGGGAGCCCCTGTGTGTCAGTGCAGTGTCTCCTCAAGACGCTGCCACCCGCGCCCTGTGCGTGGGGGGTGGCGGCCGGCTCGTCTCACGCTCTTCTCCCCACCCCTCTGTCGTTGTGGTCCGTAGAGAGAGTGCCTGTATCTGTGGGGTATGTGAGTTGAGCCCCAGTACTGACAGCCTCCTTAAAGTTTCACCCCCAGAGGGAGCCGAGACTCGGAAAGTGATAGAGAAATTGGCCCGCTTTGTGGCGGAAGGAGGCCCCGAGTTAGAGAAAGTAGCTATGGAGGACTACAAGGAGAACCCCGCATTTGCGTAAGTACTGGGGGGACGTGCGTGTGTCCCACGGCTGAGCCTGGGGCTCTGTACCCCCAGCCATGCCGCGCCCCAGTGCGGCCCGCCTCTGCCCCAGCCACCCCACCAGCACTTGCTGAGATTTAGCTACGGGGCTCAGACCGGCTTCGAACTCTTTAGCACATTGGCGTTCCCACCAGGGGTCCCGGGGACACCCTGAGGCCCGCGCGCGTGTGCGTGGCTGGAGCCCCCTCGGCCGTCCCGCAGCTCATCTCTCCACACCTGTTTCTTCTCTCCGTGGCCCCCCCTGCAGGTTTTTGCACGATAAGAACAGCAGGGAATTCCTGTACTACAGGAAGAAGGTGGCCGAGATTAGAAAGGAGGCGCAGAAGCCGCAGGCCGCCTTGCAGAGAGGTGAGTGGCAGGGGTGGTTCTGGGAAGGCAGCTCCGAAGCGGAGTCGGGGTCCCTGGAGCGTCTCCACAAGCATGACGTGGGCGCCCCGACCTCAGCTCTGGGTGGGGAGGGATGGGCGTGGTCCTCGCGATCCAGGCGGGCAGGTGGGCCGTGGCACCATGCCTGGTGCCTAGGGACTCGGGGGCGGGACAGGTCTCAGTGGGCCCCGTGGGGAGCCTTTAAGCCATGGCTGGTAGGGATGGCCAGACCCCAGCCAAGTGGTGTGGGCAGCGGGGGACTGAGGCTGGGGCCTGCCACCCCCTCCCCGGCACAGGAGGCCAAGGCCCCGCCCCACATGCCCTGTCCCCCTGTCCTGCCCCGGCCAGCTGGGGGGCCCGGCCCTGCGGGGCTGTGGGAGGGGGGGTGGCGGCGTGGTGGCGCGCAGTTCCATGCAGTAACCAGATTCCCGTTTGCCTGTTTCTCTTTGTATTCCCGCTCCCCCGTGCGTGGGGCTCGTAGCAGGCGTTAGGCTGTGGGTGTGGTGAGTTGCGCTCAGTACTGACAGCCTGCTTAAAGTTTCACCCCCAGAGGACGAAGAGACCAAGAGCCTTGCAGAAAAACTGGCCAGGTTCATAGCAGATGGGGGTCCCGAGGTTGAGACCATCGCCCTCCAGAACAACCGTGACAACCAGGCCTTCAGGTGAGCAGGGTCACCCGCCACCACCGAGGACGGGCCCAGTCCCCGTGCCAGCCAGGCCTGCTCCGACGGGCTCCCATCGGGCGTGTCCGGGGGTCCCCCCATGCACTAGGAGGACAGAGAGTGTGGAAACGGCACTGGAAGAAACCCACCAGGGAGGGGCGTGGCCAGGGACCCCAGCTTGAGGACCACGGCCGTGCTCCCCTGCTTGTTTGCCCATCGCACAGCTCAGCGCCTGGGTGCCGGGGATGGGCGCTGCCCAGGCCAGTAGGGGCTGCAGCCAGGCGGGGTGCCAGGGCCCTGGCCCCGAGAGACGCAGGTTGCTGCTCCTGGAGCGCAGAGCGGGGCAAGGCCCGCGCCCAGGGCCGTGGGGAGGATTGGGAATCCCACCGCGCTGTCGCTGCCTAGCCGAGACCCCGTCCGGGGAAAGCAGGGCTGGGGCTGCTGGGCTGTGGAGACACTCAGTCCTGGGTTCCATTCCCGACTCCACACACCGTCCTCCTGACTCGGTCTCCCCGATAGCCGGGGCAGCACATGGGTTCTGCGGCCACCTTCCAAGATTCGCAACACAACTTGGTAGTTTTTTGTTTTCTTTTTATTTTTTGGCCGGTCGTGGGGCCTGAACTCTGGGCCTGAGCGCTGTCCCTCAGCTCTTCAGCTCAAGACTAGCGCTCTACCACTTGAGCCACAGCGCCACTTCTGGCTTTTTTGTTTTTGCTTATGTGGTGCTGAGGAATGGAACCCAGGGCCTCATGCATGCAAGGCAAGCGCTCTACCACTGAGCCACCTTCCCAGCCCTAATTTTGTTTTTTTTTTTTTTTTTGCTGTTGTCTTTTTTCCATTCCTGGGATTTAACTCGGGGCCTGTATGCTGTTCCTGAGCCACTTTGTGCTCAAGGCTAGTGCTTTACCACTCGAGCCATGGTGCCACTTCCCTTTGGTAGTTTTTTTTTGTTGTTTTTTTGTTTTTTCGGTCGTGGGACTTGAACTCTGGGCCTGGGCGCTGTCCCTCAGCTCTTCAGCTCAAGGTGAGCACTCTACCACTTGAGCTACAGCGCCACTTCCAGTTTTCTGGTGGTTTATTGGAGTTAGGAGTCTCACAGTCTCTCCTGCCCGGGTTGGCTTTGAACCGCAATCCTCAGATCTCAGCCTCCTAAGTAAACAGGATTACAGGCGTGAGCCACCAGCGCCCGGCCCCTTTGGTAGTTTTTTAATAGCTCATTCTTTTTCCCCCTGTGCGTGTGCATACACTAGGGCTTGAACTCAGGGCCTAGACAATGCCCTGAGCTTTTTCTCTCAAGGTTGGAGCTCTGCCTCCTGGACCAAAGCTCCACTCCCAGCCTTTTGATGGTTAATGGAAAACAAGAATCTCATGGACTTTACTGTCTAAGCTGGCTTCAAACACAAGATCATCAGACACATCCGCTTTGCTGGTCGTTATGGCTGAGCTGTCACCATTTTTCATTTTTCTTTTTTCGCCAATCCTGGGGCTTGAATGCAGCCTGGTGCTGGTGCTGAGCTGCTTTCCGCTCGAGGCTAGCACTCTACCACTTGAGCCACAGCGCCCTTTCTGGCTTTTTCTGTGTATGTGGTGCTGAGGAATCAAACCCAGGGCTTCATGCGTGCTGAGCCATCTTCCCTACCCCACCAAAAGCAAAGTGGAGCCAGCCGCCGAGGCCTGTGCCCGACTGACCGCCTGCTGCCGCTCTCCTCCACAGCTTCCTTTATGAACCCAACAGCCAGGCGCACAAATACTACCGGCAAAAGCTGGAGGAGTTCCGCAAAGCCAAGGCGGGCCCCGCAGGCACCCCCGACCCCAGCCTCAAGCGCAAGTCCCCCCCCAAGGCCTCCTTGGGGCCTTCACCGCTGGCCATCACCTGCCCCACCTCGTCGGCCTCCTCGCCCGCCGTCACCCCCACAGCCGCCCTCCCCGGGAAGCCCGCCCCCACCCCCACGGTGAAGAGGAAGCGGAAGAGCCGCTGGGGGCCCGCGGAGGACAAGGTGGAGCTGCCGCCCGCAGAGCTGGTGCAGCGGGACGTGGACGCCTCCCCCTCCCCCCTGTCAGGTGGGCCCGCCCCCGCCCCACGTGTCTGTCTGTCCTTCCCCACCTCGGCTCCCCCAGGACTGTTCTTTCCAGGGCATTCGGCAGGGCAGCCCTGAGGTCCAGGCTCCTGACCAGAGCGTGCTGCGGGCCCGCCTGGGGTCCTCACTGCAGGGAGGCTGGCATTGGGAGGTTGGAGGCCAGTCCAGGCAGACCAGCTCTGAGCCTGCCTCCATCGAGAGAGGCCCTGAGGTGCAGCCCTCGGTCCCGGGCCCCAAGTGAGGACAGGAGACTCACCCCCCTCCGGAAAGTGCCCGGGAGGAGCGAGCTCATTTAGTCTAGGTTTTGTTAAGTTTTACAAGTAGCAGGGTTTGAAGTCTGGGCTTTGCTTTTGGTAGGCAGGTGCTATACTGCTTGAGCCACGCCTCCAGTCCTTTTTGCTTTGGCTATTCGGGTAGGGTCTCAGATCTCCCCTTGGAGGCCCTCCTCCTCAGGCCTCCCTGTGGCTAGGGTGAGCAGCGCCTCAGGCTGGCCCTGCACCTGCGTCACGCGGCCATGCTGGTGACCATCCCTAACAGCTAATGATGTCGCGCCTTATGGCTTTGTCAGCAGTTCCGAGGTTTGAGCTCAGGGCCCCATGCCTGCTCAGCTAGCGCGCTTGTCAAGTCAGCCGTGGCCCAGCTTGGCTCTTCACTGGTGGTCTCCAGTACCACTGGGAAAGATGGGTCTCTTTCTTGTCTTCTCCCCGGCTTCCTGGGGTGCACCCCTGGCCTCATGCATGCAGGTGCTTTGCCCGTGCACCAACCTCGAGCCTCTGGGTTCGCATGGAGGCAGCGCCACCCACAGGCTCCCTGTGGAGGGGCCGGCCCAGCGCCAGTTCCCTCACATCCCGCGCCTTTCCCCCCAGGACCCCGAGCAGCAACCATGGGACGTGTGTCTTTGATTTGTATGTTTAGCTGGTGCCAGCCCTCGGGCTCGGACTCGGGGCCTGGCGCCGTCCCTGCGCGCTTCCGCCCAAGGCTGTCACTCTCCCACTTGAACCACAACTCCGCTTCCCATTTTCTGGTGGTTTATTGGAGATAAGAGTCTCAGGGACTTTCCTGCCTGGGCTGGCTTTGAACCTCAAACCTCAGATCTCAGCCTCCTGAGTAGCTAGGACAGTCGTGAGGCACGGGCACCGGCCCGGCAGCTGATTTTGAAGCCGCCCACCTGCAGTAAGCTGGAGGACTGTTCCTTCCCACCCCGCAGGGCCCGCTGCTCCCTGCCAGCCGCTCCCCCGGTGGGGAGACCACCCCCTGGGGGTGCTTGTTTGCTTCCTTCTGACACCCAGATGGGGCATTACGCGGATTCACGGGGCTCGCGCCAGACAAGTTCCCGAGCTGATGCCAAATTAAATGTCAGCAGCTCTGCGTGCTCCTGGCTGCCGCGCGCCGGGAGCCCACGCCGCGCTCCGCCCCGGAGCGTTCTGTGCAATGTGCAATCTGTTGGCGACAGCCTCCTCCTGGGACGTGGTGTGCTTGAACACGTGTCAGGCCCTTCACGGCCACCTCAGCCGCTGCCGTGGGCTTTGTGTGTGTCCCCCCCCAGCCACTCCCGCGGTGGAGCACGGCAGACAGAGGTCGCATCTACAGCACGGGAGCATGTGCAGGGTGCCTGGGCATGTCCCAGCCCGAGACCCCCAGAACGGGCTGGGCTGAGCGGGCGTCACGCTCACCCTGTCTCCTCCACTCTGCAGTGCAGGACCTCAAGGGGCTCGGCTACGAGAAGGGGAAGCCGGTGGGGCTGGTGGGCGTCACCGAGCTCTCAGACGCCCAGAAGAAGCAGCTGAAGGAGCAGCAGGAGGTGCCGCCCCGGGCCGTCCCTGTCCCCAGACCGCCCCCAGCCCTAATCCGGGTCCCCCGTCAGCCACACGCCGCTCCGCAGCCTACAGCAGGGCTGGGGCCAGGGGCCTTGGGGTGGTCACTGCCTGGTACCCACTCCCGCAGGGTGGACCCCGTGAGACAGAGTCCCTGAGGGTTTTCTCTGAGGGTTGGGGGCCGGGGTTGGGTGAGGCCCCACCGCCGTGGCTCAGGTGTCCGGCCCACGCCCCCAGATGCAGCAGATGTACGACATGATCATGCAGCACAAGCGTGCCATGCAGGACATGCAGCTGCTGTGGGAGCGCGCGCTGCAGCAGCACCAGCACGGCTACGACAGTGACGAGGAGGTGGACAGCGAGCTGGGCACCTGGGAGCACCAGCTGCGGCGCATGGAAATGGACAAGACCCGCGGTGCGGGGGCGGGGGGG